ATATCCTTTGCCTATTTTTCTTTTGGATTATTCATCTATTTTTATTGATTTATAAGAGTTCTTTATATATTGTGGATTTATATAGCCAAAGTAGATTTTACCATTCATTATCTGGTTCTAGCCAAGTACAGGTTGCCAGGGGTCTTCACTTCCATAGTACCACCTCCTCTATGGGTGTCAAAGATCCCACCCTTTGGTTTAGGAGGCTGACAAAAGTCCTAAGTCATTTAAAAAGGGGTGGCATTGATAGGGATAAGTGTGGATGGAGGTCCTCCACAAAGTCTCAGGACAGGGGTAAGCATCACTCCTTTTGAGCACTCCAGACAACTGTCAATGCAGGCCCCAGCTGGAGAGTGAAGAGCTGAATGCCCGAAGTGGCCTCACGCACCCACGTAAGTGGCCACAGAGGATCAGCCGGTGAAGGCCCAGCCCCCAGGAAGCTTTCTGGTGTGATGATGGAGGGCTTAGCAGTCTCTGGACACTGACTCCTTTCCCCTCCTTGTGGCCCCTGAGGTCTGGTTCCCTCATCCCAGTCCCCCTTGACCTCTTCAAGGTCATGTCTGATCCCACTCCCTTCTTCCCTCCCAGCGCAATGTCCCCATTGATTTCTCTAGGTGGCACATGGTCTGGGTCTTCTCTGTCCTCTCTTCAATCTATAGTTAACGCATAAACTCTATCTCTAGCTTCCTTCAGGATCTACCCTTCTGATTTTCAAGAGCATTTTCCTTCAGCAAAAGCAGCCTCTTGCAGATCAAAGTCTCTGCCTTTCAAAAGTGTAGTTTCTGATGCGGGCTTCAGCAGATGATCTGGGAAGTTAAAAAACAATGACATCTGAGCGTTGGCTGTTTCTCTCCCTTTATATTCCTGTTATAAAAGCACTAATTTTCCTGGAGGTGAAGTGGAAAAACTAAAAGCAAAACTGTTATTTTGGCATATGGACTTGCTGTCTTCCTGCATGTCTATGGCAGGTTTGTTTTCCCCAGCCCGTTACTTGTCTTTTAACTCGGCTCGTGTAGTCTCTGTCATTCTGAAGTTAAATGTAGTCAAATCCAGCCACCTTTCCTACTTTACTTCTAAAGCTTTTATGGGGTTTTGTTTTTTACATTCAGTTCTTTAAATCAAAAATACTTGATTTCTGAATACTTTGTATGTATGTCTGGTGTAAGGCAGAGTTCAAACTTTCTATCTTTCAAATTGGAGAGCCGTTTGTCCCAATGCCATTGATTAAATAGTCTACACTTTCCTCATGGATTTGACATGCTCCACTTAAGACAGATAAACAGGCGGATAGTCTGTCCTCTGCTATCCTGTCTGCTGCTCTCTTGCAGTGTATCCAATAAACTCCCATCTCCTTAAAAAAAAAAGACAGATGATAGATAGATAGATGGATAGATAGATAGATGATGGATGGAAGGAAGGAGGGAAAGAAGGAAAGGAAGAAAGAGAAAGAGAGAAAGAAAGAAAAATTCTCTTGTTTTCTAAATATTTTTATTTCTGGCTTCATAGTTCCCCCTCATTTTTATTCATGAAAATAATTTTTTCTTGTGGAGAAAGAGGGAAATGGGAATTATTGCTTAATGGGGACAGAGTTTCAGTTTGGGAAGATGAACGCGTTCTGGAGACGGACGGGGGTGATGGTTGCACAACAATGTGAGCATACTTAATGCTGCTGAACTGTATACTTAAAAATGGTTAAAATGGTAAATTTTATGTTATGTATATTTTACTCCAATAAAAAATTCTTAAAAAAAAATTTTTTTGGCTATTCTATTCTTGTCTATTTTTTTCTTCCTGTTAGACTTGAGAATCAGATTGTTAAATTCCATAAAAAGTACCTTTGATATTTTGATTGAAATTACATTAAATTTATAGATTCCTTTGGGGAGAACTGACATCTTTATAATACTGAGCTTTTACCATCCCGGGACATGGTGTGTCTCTCCATTTATTCAGATCCTTTTTTATGTGCTTCAGTAAAGGTTTTATAATTTTGTTCATATCAGCTTATTCCTAGATATATGATGACTTTAGTTGCCACTGTGAACGGAATCATGGGTATGACACAGGTGCCGTCCCTCAGGTCTGTCCTCAGCCCAGCCCCTGGCATGAATGGCAGGGTCCAAAAGACACATGAGTCAGGAAGTAAAAAATGTCATTTCATTAAAAGACTCTGCAATAGGCAGGAGGTGTATCCAAGCGAGCTGAGCCACAGAGGCTGGCAAGGTCAAGAGGAGGGACTGTCAGGATCAGAGAAAGCCAAGTTTATCACCTGTGTGGTCAGGAAGAGGCAGAAACTGAGATGATGAAGGTTGGGACTTACGCTCGCCTTGAATACCGATGTACCCCCAAAAGCCTCTTTCATTCTGCAGGGCAGATTATGGCTTTGGAGCCAGGAGAGCTGAGTTTGAACCCTGGCTCTGTCATTCACTAGCTGAGCGGCCTTGGGCCATTGACTTGGCTTCTCAGAAACCAAGTGTCCTCACCAGCAAAGTAAGAGTGAATTCTAATTACATATTCAGTTGTTTAATCATTTGTCTGTCCCCCACTGACCTGTAACTCCACATGGGCAGGTACCAAATGGGTTTAATTCATTAATGTGCAGGGCTACTTCTAGCCCATACAGTGCTTATGAAGGAATTAGAAAAAGGCACCCTTCTGAGTAGACACAGCTTTGTGAGCCCAGTCTGGTGATTGGTCTGTCAGCTGGATCTTGGCTCCCACTTGTCTCTCAACTGGGTGCCCTTGTGTAGTGAGTGACCTGCCCCGGTGTGTATACCCAGTGCTTGGCACAGGCCTGGCACATGAGAAGTGCTCAAGAAATTTATTGAATAGATAGATGATTAGATGTGGGGGCTTAGAGAGAAGGAGATGAGGGAACCCCTAAGGGGTTCTCACTTGAACTCAAAAAGAAGTCCTCTGCTTCCAGGTGCAAAATAACACGGATTATTCCAAGTGCTTTATTTCCCTTAATTCTGCAGGTGCTGAGGATGGTGTCCATTAGCACCTAGGCTGTGACCCCTATAGGAATGGGGCAATCTGATGATCTGGTGGGATGGACACCCCAGGCCTTCGGGAGCCTCCAAGAAGTATCCTCACTCAGGGAGGAAGGAGGCTGACTTGGTAACTAAACTGTGAGCAATCCAGGGAAGTGGAGATGAAGAGTAGATGAGGAGTAACTGGTGTGTGGGGGGGTGCTTTCTGAGGAGGGGAAAGAATGTGGTGACCTGAAGGTTGAGGAGGATCCAGGCACAAGAAGTGTGTCTGGAATGTGCTTGGATGTTGGATGGAATGTGCAAAAGTCCTGACGCTGGGGACGGGTTGTTTGGCCCCTTTGGGGAGTTGAATATTGGCCAAATTGACTAGCCCTCCGTGCATCATTTCATAGACTTTTCATGAATTAGATGCCCTTTGGGATTTTCTACACTGTCCTCCTCTTTCTGAACTTGGTGAAGTTCAAATAACTGAGACATACCCTCACTACACACCTCCGTCTCCTCGACATGCACTTCATCTCCTCATATAGGGCCAGCCTAAGGTTGACGGGGTCACCCCATCAAGATCGATAAGCGTCCCAGCTCCACCGTGTATTGGCTGTGGTCTCTGTCAACCCCTCACAGCCTCCTTCCCCATCTATAAAATGGGGATGAGAAAATTGACCTTACAAGTTGTTGGGAAGATTCTGCCCTCAATAAAAAAGGCAAATAGTCCCAAGAACAAAGGAAAGACCATTAAAAACTCCAGGAAAGGGGTGCGTGGGTGGCTCAGTTGGTTAAGCGTCTGACTTTTGATTTCAACTCAGGTCTTGATCTCAGGGTCGTGAGTTCAGGGCCCACGTTGGGCTCCACATTGGGTGTGAAGTCTACTTTAAAACAAAACAAAACAGGGGTGTCTGGGTGGCTCAGTCGTTAAGCGTCTGCCTTCGGCTCAGGTCATGATCCCAGAGTCCCGGGATCGAGCCCGCATTGGGGCTCAGTGGGAAGCCTGCTTCTCCCTCTCCCACTCCCCCTGCTTGTGTTCTCTCTCTCGCTGTGTCTCTCTCTGTCAGATAAATAAATAAAATCTTAAACAAAACACAAAAACCACCCCCAGGAAAAACATAAAGACACAGAAGGAAGGAAATAGACAAGCACACTTCTTAACTCAGCAACAAACAATATTTAGATGGTGACAGTAATCCTTAAGGTTTTAATTTCTTTTTCATGTCCTCCTGTGCTGGCCGGAGCTGCGAGTGCAACATGGAACAAAAGCAGTATTAGTGGGCAACCTTGCTTTGTTCCTGACTTTAAAGGGAAAGGTTCGAATGTGCATCTTCAAGTATGAATGCTAGCTTAAGCAGCTGTGGGAAGAGTGAAATCTGAATCCTCAGAGAACCTCTGATCTTTTTCTTCTTGCAACTAAACAGTGGTTTTCATGCTTCAACCATTCCAAGATTCCACAGTCTCTGTGTGAAGAAGTTTAAGCCTTTTAAAAGCCTAGCATTCAAGGCCTCTTAGCCTTTCCCAATCCTGAGTCTTTAGGATTTACCCACTCATCCCATTCCAGATGTCTGGACATTCCAGAACACACCCTTGATGAGATCTTAAATTCTATCTCAGAATATCTATCCTATGCTTTCGTGCCGGCCTGCTCTTCTCCTTGTCTGGAATACCCTTCCCTTCATGTACTTACTCCCAATTATCTTGGAAAAGCCAACTCACCTCTTCAAGGAAACTTTCCTTCCACCTTCCCTAGCACTTGGTAGAAGATTCGTTTATAGTCTGGGGCACAGGTCCCAACACATACTAGGGTCTTTATGTATGTGTCTATTGAATAAACACATAAATGAACCCTTGACTAAAACTTTAGGTCACCAAAAGGAAAAAAAGTCCTGTTCTTCCAACAAATCCAGACTGTGCTTTTGCTTCAGCCTCCAAACTCCCACACATGTTCAAAAATGTTGTCTTCTGCCTTTATACTTGATCAGCAGTTTGGCTCAAAATAAAATACTTGAGTCACACTTTCTTTCCTTGCTGACTTTGTAGGTGGTGCTCTATTGAGTTCTAATGCTGGATGCTGCCATGAAGAAGTCAGAGGCCAGCCTGGTATCCTCCCCCTTGTAAGTGACTAGTTCCCTTTTGTCGAGCTGCCCAAAGGATTATTATTTTTTTTATGACTTTGAGATCTAATACCTTTATTAGGACAGAGTTGATAGTGATCATTATGAATCAATTTTCCTGGTCTCATTGCCTTTTCAATGTCTCCTTTTTTTCCTAAAGCGTTTTCTTGAATTATATCTTAGAATATTTGTTTGATGCCGTTTTTGGTTTACTTTTTCTGGTACGTGCGTATGGTCTCTGTCCTTTTCTCTCATCATTTAAACTTTAAAAAAGTCTTTTCATTCTATTTTTCTCACATTCTCGTTTCTATCATCTCCGTCCCTTGTGGTGTTTCAGCAGGGTCTGTTCTCTGTTCTACCTTCACACTGATTTTTAGTTCTGCGCTATCATAATTTTCCTGAATCCTGACAGCTTGTTGTATTTCCTTCGGTGGTTTTGCTTTTATTTCTGTGAGCTCTTCTATCTCTTCTCTGTACTCTTGTTTAGTAGAAATAAGCCCTTGGCATAGCGTCTGGTGTATGGTGGGCATTCTGTGAAGTTCCTCTTCATTATCAAGGCGACGGCTTTCATTTTCTTGTATTTTCTGCCAGGCTTTCATCAAGTCAAGATGAATATCTTGCACACTTGCAATCATGCTTTGAGTCCAATTTTGCAGTCTGCTTGTAAACCTACTATATTGTAAGCATTTGTTTCCGCATTTTGGTAATAATTTGTTGGTGGAACACCATGCCATTGAATCAAGGTGTTGTTATTTAGGGGACCATCCTTCTGCTACTGGACATTTTGTAGTGTTACAAATGATTTCCTATTGAATTATATATTCTATGGTATTGTTGCTTTCTTTGGTATCTCCTTTTTATTTCCTACTGAAGGCTGAATATTCTTCCATGTTTACTTACTACTTCTATTTCCTCACTTGAATTGCTTGCTTGTGACCTTTGTCCAGATATCTCTTAGCCACCTATTTTTCATTGGTGTATATGAAATCCTTACATAATATAGACATTAACCACTTGTCATTTTCCCCACTCCCGGGTGACATTTACATTTTAGTTACTTTTCTAATATACAAACTTTTGGTGTTTTATCTATCAGTCTTTGCATTGGTAGATTTCTTTGACTTAGTTAATTGGTTATCCAACAAACACTGTGGGAGCACCCGATCCATATGACAGGTGCATAGAGAGATATGGAGAGGGGGAGTAAAGGACACCCCAGTTCCTGATTTCCAGTTAAGTTGGGGATGCAGCCATGAAAACAATCAGTGTTGTCTCAGTACGTGCTAGAACTGTGAGGACCGCAAAGGCAGCTGCAACAATGGCCAATTGAGCCAGCTCTCTGCACCCAGCCCCTTTCGAAGAACTTGCGTACAGTATCTGATTTAAAGCTCATAACAGCTCTGTGACTTAGGTGAGGAGAATGGTCTTCAAAATCCTTACAGATGGGGGAGAATGATTCTCAGAATGCTACCATGACTTATCCACGCTCCAACAGTTAGTAAGAGCTGAAGCCAGTATTTGAAGTCAGCCAGTTAGACTGTAGAGCTTGCCTTTTTTTTTTTTTTTAAAGATTTTATTTATTTATCTGACAGAGAGAGACATAGCGAGAGCAGGAACACAAGCAGGGGGAGTAGGGGAGGGGGAAGCAGGCTTCCTGCCGAGCAGGGAGCCCGATGCGGGACTCGATCCCAGGACCCTGGGATCATGACCTGAGCCGAAGGCAGACGCTTAACTGACTGAGCCACCCAGGCGCCCATCCTTTTTTTTTTTTTTTTTAAGATTTTATTTATTTATTTGAAAGAGAGAGAGAGAGCACAAGCAGGGCGAGGAGCAGAGGGAGAAGCAGGCTCTCCGCTGAGCAGGGAGCCTGACGCGGGGCTCGATCTCGGGGCTCCAGGATCATGACCTGAGCTGATGGCAGATGCTTAACCGACTGAGCCACCCAGGTACCCCTAGAGCTTGCCTTCTTAACCACCATACCAAACCAGCTCCCCGGGGCAAGGTGGTGATGATGATAATGACGGTAGTGGTAGTGATGGAGTTACAAATCAAGGAAAGCCTCCAGGAGGAGGTGAGTCAGAACTGAGAAATAAAGGATGAAGACAATTTCACCATCAGGCGAGGGGCTGTGGAGGAATGGGCATCCCACTGTGGTCTCTGAATCAAATGTATTGTTTGATTTAAGGAGGAGCAGATGTCCCCACCCTCAACCCGGGCGGGGAGCTCCAGCCCCCTGAGAGACTGCAAGTTGGTCAATAGCCTCAAAGGACAGGTGGTCCTTTCATGACCCACATTTTATTTGTTTATTCCCCACAGGCTCCATGTTAGGCGCTGGGGACACAGAGGTGAACAAGACACTCAAGACACCTGCCCCATGGAGTTTATATTCAAGGTGGGGGAAATAGACAAGAGAGAAAATGTACTGAATGTTTGCCCTTGCCCAACAATCTTAAAAATTCCCTTCTACATTTTGATTATTCCTTATATCTTGAGTTCCTTCTTCCCAAAGCAGAGAAGCCTGCCTCCCTTGAAGCTAGGGTGCAGGCATGTGACCTCCTTTCCTCCAATCCCACTCGTGCATCTGAGATACCAACCAGGAGGTGAATGCTGTGAGGAAACGGATGCATGTGGGGCATACCTTTGGCTGGGCTGTGTGGTGGCCAACGCAGTATGGTTCTGGGGTCAAGGACAGCAGCAGCAGCTCCCCCGTCAACCTGGTCTTGTAGTGTGCTTCTTGGAGATGCTCCTGAAAGCTGCGTCTAGAGCCTGTTTCTCCATCATCCGATAAGCCTAACATCCCTAAGTAAATTCCCTTTCTACTTCAACTGGCCAGAATGGATTCTGTTGTCTGCAAGCAAGAATACTGAGAATACGCAAACAAATAAATATACATACCGAGGACACTAAGTAGTCGAGAGGCTAAGAGACTGGCCAAGGGTTCCCCAGGGGTAGTGCTGGGATCCAAACCCAGGAGGGAGGATCCAGACCCTGACCTCCCATCCTAGGTGCTGCCGGAGTGACACCCCACCTGGTGGGATCAGTGCTATAGGGCTTGCTGGCACCCTCACAGGATCATCCAGTCTTCCTTCTTCCATGCTCAGCCTGGGCAGAAGAACACGACTGCCTCCCTGCCCCCACCCCTGCCCCCTTGTCAGGTGCACGGATTGCAGGTGGCTGGGAGGAGAGCCTTTGCACCTGGTGCTCTGACCAAAGGCTCTTGATCTCTCGCAGGGAATACTGTTCTGTCTTCCTCCTTGAGGACTGCAAGGTGATGTGTATTGGGATGGGATTTTGTATTTTTTTTTAATTTATTTTTCATTTTTTAAAAGATTTTATTTCTAGGTAGCCTCTACACCCAACGTGGGGCTCGAACTCATAACCCCAAGATCAAGAGTTGCATGCTTTACCAACTGAGCCAACCAGGCACCCCAGATTGTATATTTTTATTAATGGTATTGTCATACAATTATGCATCCATCTTATGGTCGGAAAGAAGCAAGGGTCTAGAGCCTACTTGGACCTGTCCCAGGAAGGGAACAAGGAGAGAAACAATCCAGGGTGTGTGGCCTTGGGATTGTGGGCCATCCAGGCCTTGCATGTCTATGGGAAGAAGTCTGGCTCAATGTTCCTGGAAGCCAGATTTATGCCCTTTGATGTCACTGTTAAGACTAGCTGCAGAAGGGGAAGTGGGGGCTCCTGCCCCCAATTCAGGCTCTGCTTTAATTGAATCAGGTCTTGTCCAGAGAGACAAAACAACTCGCCAAGAGCACTGAACTGATGGCCGGGGAGTCTTTTGCCCAGAAGTGGTTTCCCCACTTACAGGGCCAGCCTGTTAGCAGCACAGGGTGAGAGGTGTTTTTCTGTTGGATGCCTTTCTTTGCATTCTCCAAGGCTGGTGGATCAATAGCTACAAATAGTTAAGATAAATTTGTCTTTGCTCTCCATACCCTCTGACAGGGAGACCATGGGCCCCCGGATAACTCAGGTTCCCATCAGATGTTGCTGCTGTCAGCAACTGTTGTCCAGGACCTCTCTGAGTCCTCACAACAACCTTCCAAGGTGAGGGCTACTGTGCCTATTTCAGAGATAGGAAAACCGAGGCTCAGGAGAGGACGTCCTGACCCAGAGTCCCAGAGTTTATCCTTGGCCTCAGGCCTCGGTGCATGTAAGCTGTTTGTTGTCACAAGTTGTGTTATTACCGTTGTTGATTCCCCAGGCTAGAGAGTAATCATGACCCTCAGAGAGGGAACATTGCTTGCTCAAGGTCACAGAGCCAGTGAATGGCAGGGCTGGAGTTAGAAGCCCGCCTGGTGGGACCACAGAACCCCCTGCTAGGAGAGCTCCTCAGCCTGGGCTGGTCTGGCCCCGGCATGCCTGCCCTGGAATCCACAGAGAAAGGCATCAAGATGTGTGTTCCTCTGAGAGCCCCCGGAAAGGGAAGCAGGCTCCTTCCCCATCCACAGTAGCAAGGACATCACTTCCTGGCTCTGGAAGGACCTACTCCCCAAAGCTGCAGCTCTATTTTTAGCCTTGAATCCATCAATAAACGGAGTCTGGCAGAGCAGGCAACTCCTGGCTGCCTGGTATTAATGAGAAGAGAGACCCAGACCGTTTATTAAGTGCTTTCTGTGTGCTGGGCATTATGCAAAGTGCTTCACATGGATTAGCCACTTTACAACATTCTTATGAAACAACTACTATTATTGTCATTTTATAAATAAGGAAAATGAGGCTCAAAGACATTAGGGCACTTGCCTGAGACCACACAGCTGATCAGCTGCAGAGCCAGGATCCAAATGCAGGTCACATTTGGGTTTGTGGGACCCTGAGTCCATGCGCTTTCCCCCTTACTGCTCACTTGCTCGCTCGCTCCAAGGAAAGGGCCCCTGAGCCTGGGGCAGCCTGGTGGGGGAGGGGACGGGGGCAGGGCAGCCGGCTAGCAGTCACCGGGGAGCGGGGAGCGAGGAGGTGCTGTGAGGCGGGCAGGAGCCACAAGCCCCAGCCGATTGGTTGGTTTCTGTCACTGAGAACAGAAACCCAGGCCTGGGCGTCCCCAGATGGAGAAAGCCTGGAAGAGCATTGTGGGTGGAAGGAAGGGCACCGGCAAAGGCAATGAAGTGAGGCCTGTTCAGGGCACCGTGAATAGTCTGGCAGGACTTGGGCAGAGAGGGAAGAGGAGGCCAGGGGCAGGGTGCAGGGCAAGATTCCGGAAGCCCTTCAATCCCAGGCAGGGAATTGCGGTCTTCTGGATCCTGGAAGGACTCGGGGTGGGAGAGTGGCAGTATGATGTCTGAGCTTCAGAGCAGGGTGGGGCATTTGAGGAAGAGGCCAGGGAGGGGGAGACGAAAGGCTACTCCCACTAACAACAGTGGTAACAGCTTCCGTTTGCTGAACACCTGCTGTGTGTGGCCAGCCTCCTATTAGGCGCTTTTCATAAGTCATCCCCTAACATACCTAGCAGATGCTCTATCCAGTGGCAGCTCTGTGAAGGCTTTTCATGATCCCCCCTTTACAGACAAGGAAACAGAGGCTTTGTGAGGTCAAGTGACCACCCGGGGCGCCTAGACGGGAATCTCCGGAGACCTTGGTGCCTTGCTGACCAGATCCGAGCGTGTGTAACAATAAACAGTCTCCAGCGAAAGGACATTTATCTGAAGTCTCAGGAATGGAGACGATAAGGTAAGTTTTCAAAGATAACAGAGACGAAGTTTTTTTTTTTGTTTTGTCCTTTAAGTAAGTTTATTCTCACACTGACGATAGCAATTACGTTACTAAGGTTACAAAGCGCTTTTGGGGGCTGCAACCCGCAGAAAGACTCAGCCAGGGGAGAGGGCATTGTTTCTTCAGGGCAGCGGCTAGGGGAGGGAGGAGAGGGCAGGGTCTCCAGTTCGGTGTGTCCAGCAGCTATGGGGGCTCCCCCGATCAGAGGTGCAGCCAGGGCTCAGGGTTCGGAGGCCCAGTAGCAAGTGGCAGGGGTGAGGGAAGGAGGGGTCGGGCTGGGTCCCAGCGGCATCTGACTTCTGATATCATTAGGGTCAAAAGTCTCCAAGGAGGTAGGAAATATACCGACCCCCTCCCCGTCTTCCCCCCAAACTGGGGATACATCAAAATGTAAAGAGACACAAGAGCCAACTAGAAGAGCTCCCAGTGGCCAAAGCTGGAATAGTTTGAGCAACAGAATAAATAAGGCAGCGTTGGGTTACAATCCAAAGTATGAAACAAATATCCATGAGTCCATACTGATATAAATAAATGATTGGATAAATAATATAAATAAATGATTGAAAAGAAACAAATCTCCCATGTGGAATTGCAGCTGATTTATGCAGATATTCCAAGGAGGTGGTACACAGCTCCCCGCTGCTTAAATGTGGGCCGCACGCAGTGACTTCCTCCTTAAGAGTACAGTTGGGGGCAGAGTAAACTTTTCAGAGAAACCTGGTGAACAGGCCCCAGCCAGGTGATCAAGGTCAACGTCAATGGGGATAAGTCCTAGCGATGTGATATGCGTCCATCAGCAGCCTTGGTCAGGGTGCCATCAGGCCCTGGCAGCCTTGAAAAAGGTCCGCTTTTCATAAACACAAGCATACCCACCTGCAGTAGCCCCAGCTCCGGTTCATCCCTGGCTGGCTGTCCACGACCCTGCGGGATGGAGATGAGGAGCCCTGGAGGACCTGACCGTTGCCTAAGCTGCTGGGAGCTCAGGGGCACGGGAAATCTAGTCACTTCTGCTGTAACCAGGACTTAGAGGGGCAGCCACATCCAGGGGTGTCCCGGGAGGTCTCTGACAGAGGCCTCGCCCACTTGACAGGGAGAAATTAAAGTACACACGTTATAAGTTTAAAGGTAACTACTGAAGATTATAGGGATGCCTAGGTGGCTCAGTAGGCTAAGCATATGCCTTCGGCTCAGGTCATGGTCCCGGGGTCCTGAGATCGAGCCCTGCATCAGGCTCCTTGCTCAGCGGGGAGCCTGCTTCTCCCTCTGCCTGCAGCTCCCCCTGCTTGTGCTCTCTTTCTCTCTCTGACAAATAAATAAATAAAATCTTAAAAAAAAGAAATAGGAAAATCTAATTTCCAATCTTTTGAGGAAAATAAAGGGGTGTGATTTGATAAATCTGAAAGAAGGCAAGAAGGAACACAAAGGAAGCAGGCAATTTGTAGCAAGAAAGCATAAAGAGCAACGGTGGAAATAAGACCAAGTATATCAGTAGTCCCAAGCATATGACTAGGTTAAACACATCGATGAAAGACAAAGATGCTCTGATTGAAATTCTAAAGTCTAGCAATACGTCATGTACAAGAGGTGTGGTGAAAAGCAGAACTGCACATAAAGGTTGAAAATAAAAGGATAGAAAAATTATACCAGGTCAACACTGACCACAAGCAAGCAGGATACTAATAAATTCAAGCAAATAATGAATGAATAACTAATTATTATAATAAATAACTTATTATTAATAATAAATTAATGAACTAATAAATGAATTAAAAGAACATTGATAGGAAGGAAGAAGAACATTTGGCACTGACGAAAGTTATAATCTACCAAAAAGAGATAAAAATAAATGAATTTGCATGCACCTTAAAAGGTGTTTGAGATATATAAAGCAGAACTCAGCGAAGTAAAGGAAAAGTTGACAAGTCCACAATAATAACATGAGATTTAAAAACACACCTCTTGGGGCACCTGGGTGGCTCAGTCAGTTAACCATCTGCCTTCGGCTCAGGTCATGATCCCAGGGCCCTGGGATCGAGCCCCACGTTGGGCTCCCTTCTCAGTGGGGGGGGCTCTGCTTCTCCCTCTCCCTCTGCTGCTCCCCTTGCTTGTGCTCTCTCCCTCCCCACCTTCTCTCTCAAATAAATAAATAAATAAAAATAAAATCTTTAAAACAACAAAAAATATACACCTCTTAGAAATGGATAGATCAAGTAGATAAAAAATAATGTAAAATATGATAGAGGTTAATGCAGACTGATTCACTCCACATCTGTTCCCATGTGCTAGCGTGCCTTCCTATCTTGCAGCGGATGGAAAGCCGAAAATGATTTCCCAGAATCCCTTACAGCTAGTGTTCCAAATGCGGATTCGTTTCCGGCCCTGGGTGCCACTGTGCGAGATCTGGAAGGTGGGTGAGAGGCGGAGGCCACTGTCCTTTTCCTTGGGCCGTTCCTGCTTACAGGCTCAGTGGGAGAGGCGCTGGGGTTCTCTGTGTCCGTGTCTGGGCTCCAGTTTTGTGACTGTTGGGACACAGTGGCAACAATGGCCGTGCTGTGTCCCGATCTTGGCTGGCTACCACAGTGCTGTATTTGTAGACAGCACTCGGGGCGGTGTCCCCAAGCCCAGCCTAGCCTGCACTCTTGTGGCCCTTCCAGAGACCTGGTAAACACCCAACACTTCGTGACGCTGGGGTGGTTACTGTTGTCTGCCCTGAACACTGATTTCTACAGTTTCAGGTTACTATAGATCACTGTGGATTTGAAAAACATGATTTCAAAGCTGAGAGACTTGGTGTAAGGATTAATATGGGCAAATTAACATAGATAAACACAGGTAAAGCATGTAGATCAGTCTCTGGCTCAAAGTAGCATTACACGTATTAGTGATCACTGTCTTTTTATCCTCAGTACCCCGTGGTGCTAATAACAACGTCACTCCCCCTTTCTTTGCCAATGGTGGGAGACCCCCATTATCGAAATGGACCAGAATAACAGTTCCCCTGGTCTCAGGAGACCTGATCAAGTCTCTGCCATCATGACTGGAACATTCCATAGTGGGAGGTCTTTTCACTTAAAAAATCATTTCTTTAGGGCGCCTGGGTGGCTCAGTTGGTTAAGCGACTGCCTTCGGCTCAGGTCATGATCCTAGAGTCCCGGGATCGAGTCCCGCATCGGGCTCC